CCCGGTAGAGCTGGACTCGGGCCAGATTCCATTGTCAACAGAGTGCAATGTTTATTTTTTCGTCAGGATGGAAGATTACAAAAAGAAAGATTAGATCTAATCGAGTTAGTCCGAGCAAGGCCTCTGCTCTGGGACCCACGTGATCCTGACTACAAAGACAAAGATCAAAGGGCACTAGTTTGGGAAAACCTTTCCAAGATTCTGACTGCACCCAAAGGTCCGCAGAAATGCTCCTCTGGATTCTCTGAGCAAAAAAATTCTCTTGGCACCATATTTTTATTATGCTCCCTCTTTTTCGCTTCCTTCTTTTGAGGAACAACAAAATCATTAAATCTTCTTCGTCAGATGATTCCATCTTGAATGCAACACACAGACTGGTGTGTGAGACGTAAAGCATGAACCCTGTGTTCCGTGAGGCATGAGGTGTGAAACGTGAGGCGTGAGTTTCTATGGCCTGGAAAGCGAACGTTAACGGATCGGCACGCGCTGGGCAACTTTAGTTGCGCAACTGTTTTCTCGTCCAAATGTAAACCATGAAATAGATAAGCACCGCGCGCACAGGCATCTCGGGTTTTTGAAAACTGAAAAGTTTGTGTTTTGTCACAACTTTCCGGCAACGCAACTGTTGCTCAAATCGGATCGACTAACGGGTTGGATACAGAAGCTTACTCTGCTGTACATCATGGAGTAGTGCTCCATAGTTAGTTTAGAAAGAGTTTTACAGTGTTCGCAACTTCTTTTTAAAAGGCAATAAAGTCATATGAGCCCGCGAAACACGAATTGGTTGCATTCAGAACAGTTCACAGCACAGCTTAATTTTGTTTTAAAAATAAGGCTAGAGGTCTCATTAACGCATATATGGTAAAAATGGGACTTTTAAACAGATTAGATTTTTTTTAAACAGCAGTTTACACTTTAAAACAACAATTGTCTATATTTTAGAGTGCAGGCCAAGGGCCTTCATTAAACTGATTATTCAGTTGGGATCAACGACGGAGAACACATCTTTTAATTTTGTGCATCTAAAAATACTAAAATATTTACCTCGAGTCTCTTCAAAGTCCGGACATTGTAATGTGTCTAAAGTCTAATGGTAGAGCCTGTTTCGCGTCTGACACAAAACGGTTTCTCTTCTCCCCGCAGGAGATATCCACGGGCCAGGGAAGCATGTCCAATACATATTCCAGTTAATCACTACTACTTCGTCTCTTCTTGAGAGATCCGAAGGTTTTCGTGGTCCTCGTTTGGGCATAACACTGTGAAGCTTGTTATTTAGTTGTTCACCCCAGTGTTTATCCCACAAGCTGAAGGTGTAGGGGTTTTTTAATCCTTATTCTTAAAGTCTGTTTGTGGGGGCTATTTTCTGTTGATCCCAACAGTAGGGACAAGGATTCCTTCGCCAGGAGATCAGCCTTCTCATCTCCTCGGAGCCCACATGGCTAGGTGGCCACAAAAACACAATATTTTCCTCTGCTCTGTTTAAGGAATGAATCCTCGACTACAATTTAACTATTTTCAGGTGTTTAGATGAGATTGATGAATGAAGTGACGCAAGGCAAGGAACAGGACAGAATGAGTAAGGATGATTTGGGGGAATTTTCTGCGGAGTCCAAAGCCATCTTATTGAGAGTGGTGGCCTCAGCAGAAAAAAAATGGAAGCTTCGGGGTGAGGCATGCTGCCTTCTTTTTTCTTTACTACATCATCACACTCCCCAGGGAATCAGATCTTTTTTCCCCGGGATTTTGCAGATGGTTTTGGCCTGTCTTTATGATGCCGGTACATTTCTATAGAAGCGTTTCGTGAAATTTGTTGTAGCTCAGGCCGAAGTTGGAGGTTTGGAATCTGGAGCATTCAATAGCAAACCCATCCCAGTGAAGTTAAAGTGCTCAGGGGCCGGTTCGTTTTGGATGCTATTGCTTTTTTTTAGAAGTACATGTATTACTAGTATTAGGAAATGGTCCGCATGGTCATCCAATACTGACCACTCAAAATCTGGGGTCAGGTCAGGGGTGCAGAAGGTAAGGTTGATGGATAATGTGCTAAATGTGAATCTGTTTCAGTTGATTGGGGATTTACCATTTAAAAGGCAGATGTAGTTTTGGAATAATAAATCTTCTATTATTTTTTCCCTGCTGTTGGTGGATTTGTCTCCCCCCCCCCCCCCCCCCAAAAAAAAAAAAGAGGCCATGATAGTTTAAAATCCAGTTTTGCCACAACGAGGACACGCGTTTGAGCGTCGGTCGAACTTCTGACACTTGAAATTGCGCAGAGGGACCACATGGGCTCACACGTATGATGCCCGAACGGTGGCTGGAGGGCAGCACGAATTGAACGCCAAATCAAACGTGTTCGTTTCTACGGTGGTCTCACCCAGCTCAAAAGTAATCCGGTGGGCTTCGAGCACTTCTTCAGCCACAATTTCTTCTGCAGAGCAGCCTTTCATCTCATGGCTGCGGGCAACGCCCTTTAAGCTGTTGAATTTCTTGTGTCGCCAAGATTCGCACAGAATACCGCCGAAGGTCATGATACCCAGGAGTCCGGTCACTTCTTTTTCAGATGATTTCTTGGCACGAAGTGCACCAGAAGTCAGTATTGAACAGTGGTGGGGATGTATCCAAGTGTCTTGAAAAGGGTTCGATTTGTGATCTTCTTCTGCGCACCAGAGCTGCAGATGGTCACGCACGGCTGCTCCGGAAGCTCCCTGGCTGGAAGGAGGGAGAACAGAAGAGGCGTAAAGGTCCGTTTTCCTGGTTGTTTGCTCGGCTCGGTAGCTACACCTGCTTCCGCGAGCCGAGACGTTTTAGTTTTAGTAACGTTGTGGGCTGGGGATAGGTCAGGACGTCGGTGTTTTTCTTTTAAATTCCATAACATGTTTTGGAACGGGGGGGGGGGGGGGGGTTCTACTCCGTGGCTCCCCATCCACCACCGAGCCCCAAAAAGAGGACACATTGCTCGGATGACCAGAGCTGTGCCAGGGCTACTTTGGAGTTATACCATTTTGCCAAGCCTGATTTTTTTACGGTCAGTTTTGAGTGACCATATCTCGGGCGTCTCTTAACGCAGACGAAATATTAATGTGCTGTAAATATGATGCTGAAATTATTTAGCTTTAGATTGGTATGCTGCATGAGTGAGTAATGCAAGGCTTTAACACGATGACTGGGTGATTACATTTTCAAGTTTCTTTTGGAAGCCACCATATTGTCATATATATGACAATATATTATATATAATATAGATAGACAGACATTGTCAACCAGCTGTTCGGGTGTACTTAGCCCTAAAATTTGAAAAACCTTTTTATCGCAGTTTTATTGTCCTAGCCTTATTCTTAAGCCTGCAGAGACACTCTGACCCGACCTTCACTTTTGTTGAATCCGACTGTTCGTAAAATTGTGAGAAACAAGTTACGATGCATTGTAGCGCTTAGCATAGAACAATGTTTGTTTCCACAGACCAGTTTCCAGCCCACAGACCAGTGCACAAATGATTACGAAGGTCCGTGTGTCGAGGCCAGCCTGCCACTGTTCAGTGGCCAGGGAAGGGGATAAGGTATGATTGTGATGAAGAATTTGAGAAAGAGAGGGGGGAGAGAGGAGTGAGAGAGAGGGGGAGGGGAGAGAAGAGAGAGAGGGGGGAGGGGAGAGGAGAGAGAGGGGAGAGAGAGAGAGAGAGAGAGAGAGAGAGAGATAGAGAGAGGGGGGGAGTAAGAGAGAAGGGTACAGACAGACAGACAGACAGACAGACAGACAGACAGAAAGATAGGCAGACAAGCAGAGAGACAGACAGACAGACAGACAGACAGACACCTCAACAGACAGACATGGTGCGAGAGATAGCGTAAGGCAAGTAGATATTAATTAAGAGATGAAGAGAGGCAAATAGAGAGATTGCCGTCAACAGTAAGAACGAAAAGGCTTATGCGAATTAACAAACTGTGAAGTAACAATTTTTAAAAAGCACTAAAAATAAAAACAAGTAGTGATGATACAGAAAAACAGTAATTTTTCAACTCCATTTTGAGCTAGATCTACTTGACGAGAAAGTCATCTTTAATTAAAAACACACAAAAAATATGCAAGATAATTCTTGCCGACCACATTTTGGGGACAAAAGTATAGGTATGATCTCAATTGAACCTGAGTAATATGAGCGAACATGAAGTGAAAACCATATTGCCAACATATTTCACAAGTGACCAGCAACATAGTCTTTCACAGCATAATCAACAGAGGGTTTCTACATAAAATCTGCTTATTTACACAGTGCAATTCTTAAACAGCTGAAGAAACAGTGTGCAACATTTTCTGCATTTTAAGTCAGAAGTAAGAATAATCTATAGTAAAGTATAGGGAGTACAAAAACATGGAACAAATACATGTACTAAGAGATCAAATAAACGGAAAGGCAACATGCTGGGGTTCCTTAACACAATTATTCACAGCAAATATAAATCACATAACTTTTTTTCCCTCTCACCAAAGTCAGGACAAGTGACATCTCAACTCAAATCCATGGACTACTGATAGCCCTCCTGGCATTTTTTAAAGATAAAGTAAGAATTTTACGGCATTTGCAACACAAATAGGTCATATAAGCCCGCAAAGATGGGAGGTGTTACTGCAGAGTAACATAGGCTACAATTGACAGAAGGAGGAGAAATAAGGATGATAGTTGTTTGATGCAAAAGAAGGAGCAAACCACACCAGAGCATCCGCCAACTCCCTATCCCATCTAGCATACAATCTCTTACCTTCACAGTGCAATGTATTATAATCCAAATTTCAGGCTAGGCTTTGGTACAGAATATTTTCTAGGCTTAGGAAGTAGGGAGCCGTGAACGTAGCCACTACGTATTTCAAAGCTGCTTAAAGATTTCTTAATGTGGAAAAGACTAACAACAAACTCAATTTACCTAAATAATTCAGTATGGCAACATTAACATATATAAATTTAGACAGGCATGTCAGCATGCAAAATCTTTATTCGCGTTTTTCTCGGAATGATGACTTTTCTGCCAAATCTGCTGCACTATTTTGATTAGATCTCAGAAAGTTACAGTCAGAGTTGGTTGAAATTTTCACACAAGCCCTTGAATGTCCTATTACCTTACATAGATATTTTTGCTTCTTCTCCCATTTAAGAACAGAAACTGAAAGACAAATGAGAATTTACATTCTTGGGGCGGAGATTCAATTGTGAGAGGACAGTTTGGGGGGGGGGGGGGGGGCATAGAATTGATGTAAAAACTTGTCAAATAAGCTTTTTAAATAGCCTGTGCTGTGTCAACATGGTGTATGTTGCTGAATAATGTTAGTTTTAGTGAAAACCGAGATGTTTGTGATTGCACAATGTTTCGAAAACTTTGCGTTTTTCTCGAAATTGCATTTTCGGCTAACTGGTAACTTTATAGAAAGTGTATCTCAATAACTAACAGTCAGATTTCATTGAAATTTTCACACATTATTCCCAAGATAAGTGCCCTCCTCCTTACAAGAGCACTTTCCCTGAATATTGATTCTGTTTAGAGTTATTTGGCATTTTTGCGTTTCAGCATTGCCTAATAATACTAATGGATTTCTGAATATTGGTCAAAGTGAGGGTAAAATTTGGAAAACGTATGATATTTTTTATTTCACAAAACCTCTTTTTTAAAGTGTATATGTATCCATTGATGCATACAAAGTGGCTACAAAATGGTTGGAACTGAGTTTTGGCATTTTCATTAGCCACCTCCCCTTAATGAAGTTAATGCAACTCTTGGGTGGATCAATGCATCATTCCAATCCTTCTCACCTTTAGCTTTAGTTGCAGTAAGTACTAACATGGACAAGAAACAAGATTGTATTAAAGAAGGGGAGATAAATTATCTTGAAATTTCAAGTCAAATTCAAATGGAAAAGTAGAGATGTTAAATTATAAAATGTGTCACGACACGTTGAAATCAGGCACTCGTCAATTTTTGAGCAGGTGGAGTTATTGGTATTATCTAAAAGCTTATTTATTTGCCTTGCTTTCAATGAAAAAAAACAAACCCATCTATCTTGAATTAGAAGTCAAGATATTTCCGATTAAAGAAGGTGAGGTTGCCTGGTTTCTGTTATGACATTAGCGAGAAAATGGCCGTCAGAGTTTGGTACATGTACCTCCAATATAAAGAATCCTTGAAAACTGAAAAAATTACATAGTTTGTGCCTTTAACAATGTTTTGGAAGATTTCAGTAAAATTCACAAGGAAATATGTTTTTATACAAACCAAAAAGGTGTCTCATTAATTTTTGGACATAGAGAGTTATTGGTATAGTCTTAAAGTTTGTTTATTTGTCTTTTTTTTTTCGGATGAAAAAAATACCCATCTATCTTGAACAGAATTCAAGATATTTGCGATTGGAGGAGGTGGGGGTAGTCTGTTTTCTGGGGTAAAATTTGCGAGGAAACGGCCGCTAAAGTTTGGTAACTTCTATAACTTGCGAGTCCTTGAAAACTGAAAATTTACATGTTTTGGGCCATTATCAAGGTTTATCAGTAAATTTCACATTCACATAAACATATTTTTATATGGACATAAAAGATGATGAACCAAAAACAAAAGTTCGACAAAAATTGCCAAACTTGAGGAAAAATACCTGTTTCTTCAATTTCATTATTTTGACGAGCGCCTGATTTCACCACGATGTCTCACAAATACTGTAATGATGAACACCCTACCATTTTCATAGAAAATTTGAGTGGAAGCATGCATATATATATGGACTTCATTAAAAAATTCAATTACCTACCAAATACTAGAACGATGTTATCCTTTTCCTGCAAGTACATTCAAATTGGGATGGATCTAAATATTATGTGTGTATGTCATTGCTCCACTATTTTTAAAAAATTGAAACGTAACAGGGATGGATAATAAATAGGTAGGCTACCTCATAAGAAATGTTACACACAACACTTGAGAAGTAGCTATGATTATAATTAATAGAGCTAACCAACAGGACACACCTCCATGAGTCATGATCCAAGAACAAGTCCACAACTGTTTATACTATTACAGACCATGTCGGATTTAAGCACGGTCATCGGGAGAAAGCATAAGCGTGCTTTATGCCGGAGCGTGCTGGAGTTTGAAGTAGAGTAGACATTGTCATAGTCATAACATAGAGATTTTTATGTAGAAAAATTCCGGAGATATTTCCCTTTGTTCGTACATGTAAGTAGTGGTCACACAAAAGTGTGCGCTGTCATTTTTACCCGCCATGGTAGTTTTTGTTTGTTTGTTTGTTTGTTTTTTTGTCGAATGGGAAAGGAAAACTTAATTTAGACGGCCAGTCACGATACAGCACACTAGGCCCCAAAATACGGTCTTTGCTGCTAGGCCTACACACTGCATGTGCGCACCACTGCCCACTGTGCCATATCAATACTACTGCTTTCATCTCACCTCGCGCCTGATACATAATCAGAATTATCGGATACTGAGGGGCAAAGTTGAAATCGCAGCCAGCCTCTCTTTCTGGTCTCCCCCACTCTCTGTATTTTTTTTTTCGCCTGTGTGTATCTTTGCCCTCGGCTAGATCCTATATCCAAGCGCGTGGCTGTGTGCATCTCTTTCAACGCTCTGCCTTCCTCTCCGCACGCGCGTGTGTGTCTCCATCACTTTCGCTCTTTGTGTTTCTCCACACTCACTGCTGCGGTGTAGACTGTGTTCATGGGTTATCATGAAAGTACATGTTAGTATAAGAATGTATAGATTGACTGTCTTGTAAATGAAGCGTGCCCGAAGCCGAAGTTACCGTGCTTAAAGGCATGTCATTTATATAGCAAAAATTCGGTAAGAGCCATTTAGCGTGCTCGAGTCCGAAACGTGTTTAAAGCCGGCAGGGACAGCACTGTATATCATCAGCGTCATTCACAATTGGCCTAATCAATTTCTGGGGGTTTCCAAGTAAAGCTGTTATTCAATTAAAGACATCAAGGGGCATCTTATAATAAAGCTTTGTTCGTTACTTTCTTTTTCTTCAACAGAAAAATAACAACGGCCCAAGGCATGGCTCTGATCTGGGTGCTCTTTGTTGATTTAATTTTCTCAAAGCTTAATTAAAAACATGACTTAAGCCCTCGTGAAATGAAGCTGGCGATATATCTCAATTGGAAAACAACTGAAATGCAATTGTATGTTAAGTTACCCTGAAAGAAACAGCAAGGATGCATGGCCACATATACAATAGGGGTGTCACCTTCTAAAAGTCAGACCTACAATACTCATTCTTCTACCCCTACCCCTCGCCTTATTGCATACAAAAATATCCACCAATCACAGGATATAAACAGCCGAACAATGCATCCACTTTGCAAAACATAAGAACGTGGGTTCCATTCCCAGTCTTCCTCGGAAAAACACAGTATCCTTTGAAAGACATACAAACCTGTACCCAATTTTCACTCCTTCATCCACTAACCAAACAGAGTTTAGGAAATTGGCAGAGAAGTTAAAAACAATGTGAACCATCTAAAGAACTAGTCGGTCACGAGTGTCTCTATAATTTCTAAGTCTTTTAGGAAGAGTTCAAAACACAGACTGTAAAAGATAGCTTTAACTATGAAATAAAGGTAGGTGAACATCAAAGAATGTTAGAACTTCAGAATCATCTCTAGAAGAGTGCCACCCCTGTCCAGCGGCCCAATATATAATGCAAACATAGAAAACAAGCAGAGTATCCTCTTCAGCAAGATTAAATACATTTTGAAAAAATCATGCCAGATGACATCAACAGGACAATATAGATATTAACAATACGAACATTAGCAGTTATTCAGGCTAAGAAAATTTGTGCTTGCACAGTTTACATTCACTCACTTTGACTTCTGAAGTGCTTCAGTTGCTCACCCCCCCCCCCCCCAAAAAAAAACAAACAAACAAACAACAACAACAAAACTCAGTCAAACTTCTATATATATACAGCACTGAATACAAATCAGAACCGAAGGGGTATGGTACCTCTGGATAACATAATATCAAGCATTGCATTCATTTATTAAACACTTCAGCTGACACAACATTTTCTAATTAAACTAAACTGCCATCACAGGCAGGAGACAGCTCATTTTTTGATGAAGTCCTAAAAGCATAAATGATGAACAAAACAATCATATATCTTAAGACAAATTAAATATGTTAATAAAAAAATAATATGTTAGCTTACCTAATAAACATTAGAGTTATTGGACATAAGACTGAATCATTCTTCAGTCTGTTGCCATGCCTCTCAGGCTCCCATATTGACAATGACAAGAGGCAAGGTAAGAGCTAAGCCACTTAATTAAATACATAGCTGGGGAATATAAAGACACTGATGTGATGCCTCTTCCAATTCTACTCTGGGGAACACTTGTGCCCAAACTCTTTCACACAAAATGCTCACAGAAATTAAGGGTACTGAGATAATTTTTAATTACTATTATATACATCGAAACATCTTTATCTTGTTTACTTTCAAATCAGCCAGCTCCCTTCGGTTGACTCTCAATGATCAGCTTTTCTGATCCAAAGAGTTGGCTGACGGTTGCCTGATAAAAAAAGAAAAAAAAAAATGAAAATCAATATTCATGCACAGTTAAACCTGTCCATAACGGTTACTCAAGATGACAGAGAAAAGTGACCGTTATGGACAGGTGACCACTATATACAGGGTCAGTTAAGATCACTTAACGGGACTTTTCAAAGTCAACAGATGTATTAAAATCTGAAATCTGAATTTTATTTTTTCATTTCATTTCCATTTTATCTGTCATAAGAGCTTTTTTGTATAAATTGAACGTACACACTAAGTCTCAGGACAGGTTGGCAGAAAGATTTATTTATAGCAAGTAGATCTAACCTCTATGAGCAGGTTCTAAAGCCGACTTGTCACTAAAATGACCCTCAGTGGCCACATTGGACAGGGATGTGAACAGTGGCTGTTAGTATAGGGCAAGTTGACAGTATTATTAAATGAATTCGTACACTACATGCAAACGGTAAACCTCTTTCAGAAAAGAGCCAATTAAACCAGAGATACAGGAAAACTAATGAGGAAGAGTAAATCATGTTCATGTATGTGTGAGTGTGTGTGCAGGTGGGTTTGTAAGCATGTATCTGCTGGCCAGTGTAGTGTATATATATGTACACATGTTTGTTTTGTTTTAGTAAGGTTTTATGGCGCTCGAGACTGCATAAAGTCATATGAGCGCCAAGGGGGGGATGTCAACTTAGAAGTCTAAACGCTGAATCAGGTTTACTCTGCTCACATCTCTAGCCTAACAGCACAAAGGCTGCTCCGGCTATCAAAGCACATCCGAAATAGCAGTTCACAAGAGAGTGACAAAAATAAGCCCATTTACAATTCCCGAGAGAGAGAAAAAGAGAGAGAGAGAGAGAGAGAGAGAGCGAGAGGGAGAGAGACAGAGAGAGAGAGAGAGATGGAAAAAAAGTCAAAGGGAATACGTCATATGTTGAATATGAAATGTGGCTAAATAAATAACAAAACTTACATAAATATATAAATATGTTTTGACATTGCACAATAAAGATGTGCAAGGACATTTCTTTATTGCTTACATGTACAATGCAACTAATTGTAGAGCTAGGGAAGGAGGCAAGCCTTAATTGATACACAAATAGGAGGACAAAAGATAGAAAAACACAATAAAAAAATCGCTGAATCATAAGCTTATATGAGGAAAAGAAAAAGAAATAGAAAGGGAGAACAAAGCACTGAGAGACCAACAACAAGACGGTTCATATATATATAGATAGATAGATCTACAAAGGTCTACTGTGGGAGTGAGCCTGCTTGACACTAGACTTTAAAAATGTACACTTCCTGAAAAACTAATTCCATTGAGAAGTGGGAATCACTCAGACTTTAAACCCCCTTCCCACACAAGAATTTTCTTCACAAGACAAAAAAAAAAAAAAAAAGCATCCAGATCAGTTTATTACCAAAAATCACAAGTGACACAAACATGAACTTCATGATGAAGGATAAGCCTATCCTTTTATGACCCTAGACCATACAATACACACAGCGAGAGAGAGGTGTTAGAGAGCTACTTTTTTTTGGTTCATGTTTATTCAGATTAAGAATACAAATAAAATATAGACTTACTTCTGTTTTGTTTTTAGTAGAGGGTTTTACGGCGCTCGCAACTGCATAAGGTCATATGAGCACCAAGGGGTGGATGTCAACAGAGAAGTCCTTACAGGGAATCAGACTTGCTCTGCTCACCTCTCTAGCTTCAGTAGCACAAAGTCTGCTTTGACTATCAAGGCACCGCGGAAATAGCAGGTCGCAAGAGTGTGACAAACATACAAAAGAAGTAGAGGAAAATGACAATAGTAAGGATTAGGAAAGAAAAAGAAGCAGTTCCTAGTTGTAGATCAGGCACAGTTAAGAGCGTGACATGATGAATTAGCCCATTTACAATTCTTCTGTGCTCGAACGAGAAATGTTCCCCCTTTGGGAATAGCCTAAAGACACTACAGTCAGTGGCACTGCGGGGGGGGGGGGGCTTTTTTTCTACTTTTGTGTGGGTACTAGAAATAATTTTTTCAATAATTCAAACTTTTTTCTTGAAGAGCAAAACTGGGAACCAGAGACCACTGTCACATTCAGTATTCAGTTTAAAATATAAATATTTGATCCAGAAACAAAGGACTGTACCTGTCTTCTGAGCATTTCCAGATTCTCTTGGGCTTTAACTACAAGGGCCTGAATCTGACCAGCATCAGTGATGGCTTTGTTTTCTTTGAACGCATCTCTTGTTCGTCTCAGGGCATAATTTCTGTAAGAGAAGTTAAACTTTCTTTCAGATAAAAAGTACTATTGAAGTTATTGAAAACAGAGAAGAAATACCTTGTGCCGCATTCATAATGCATAAAAAATCATGTGAGTACCAAGTCCTAGTCTATTCTATAGGGCCTGTTTAGGTTCTATACATATTGAGAGAATCAGCCCGCATTAAATTATTTACGCTGTGACAACGAAATGATCTCTCTGCTGCATGCTTAATCAGGCAGAAAAGTTAGTTTTAGATTTAGTAGAGGTTTTACTGCGCTCACAATTGCATAAGGTCATATGAGCGCCAAGGGGTGGATGTCAACAGAGAAGTCCTTACAGGGAATCGGGCTTACTCTGCTCACCTCTCTAGCTTCAACATCACAAAGTCTTTATCAAGGCACCCCGGAAATAGCAGGTCACAAGACAGTGACAAACATACAAAAGAAGTAGAGGAAAATTGGCGACAGTAACGATGAGGAAAGAAAAAGCAGCAGTTCTCTGTTGCAATTTCAGCATAGTTATGAGCATGACATTGATGAATCAGTTCATTAAAAATATTACAGTGAAACAGAACATGATAATGCAATGTCCCCCCTTTGGGAATGGCCTAAAGACATTTCAGTCAATAGCACCACTCTGGGGGGTAGGGCAGAAATAACATTTGTAAATGTTTAATCAAATCATACAAAAGACTAACAATTCGGTCCAATCTCACACCTTTTTGAACACTACACTATACCACCATACATTTACAACACACTTACCAACATAGTTGTTTTTTTTCACCTTGAACCTGTCACAGTGATCTATTTTAACTTTTATGTTTTATTTTACTCACATATATCAGGTTTTTGCAATTCCCAGATAATTGAAAAACAAACATTTTTTTGCGCTGTGGATCATTACCTGCATAGCCTAGCCCATAGCGTACACCTTATGCCACCAACCAGAAGTCTTTTTTCACATGAACACGTGAGTTGTTGACACTCGTGTAAGACATGATGTGTCTTAGTGCGTACCAGGGCCAAGAGGGGTCGGTCGGGGGGCTGTTAGTGTGTGTGTCTGGGGGGATTGGTGGGGTGGGGGCACATGGGCACAAGTGTTTCGGGCAGGGAAAGTTGGCAGATATACAAACCCCTTCTCCTGGTTATTGGACAATGAAAGTCTAGTTTAGAAATAGCTCTAAATTCTATGTAATGAATTGAATGCTGGCCTTTGGAAATATTTTCTGTATGCTAGGCCCTACATTGGGAGGCAACTTGCTCACATTGTTATTACAGTCCATACCGGCTTTAAGCACGATCGTCTGGAGAAAGCTTAAGCGTGCTTGAGTGCGAAGTAGACATAATCCCGAGGTTTTCATGTAGAAAATTTCCAGTGCTATTTCCCTTTGTTTGTAAGTAGGCCTATAGGGGTCCCGCAAAAGTGTGCACTGTTATTTAGACACCCGCCATGGTAGTTTTTGTTCCCTTGTTTGTTTTTGTTTTGTGGTCGAATGGGAAATGAAAACTTCATTTAGACGGCCAGTCACCATACAGCACATTAGGCCTACACACTGCCTGTGCGTACCACTGCCCGCTGTGCCACTCATACCACCGCCTACATCCCACCTCGAGCGTGATACACAATCAGGATTAATGGATAGCGAGGGTCAAAGTTGAAATCGCAGCCAGCCTCCCTTTCTCGTCTCCCCAACTCTTTTTTTTTTTTTTTTTTTTGGTCGTGTGTAGCGTAGCTTTGCCCTAAGCCTAGTCTAGATCCTATGTCCGCGCGCGCGGCTGTGTGCATCTGCCTTCCTCTCCGCCCGTGTGAGTGTGTGTGTCCATCACTTGCGTTCTTTGTGTTTCTCTTGACACACTCCACTGCTGCGGTGTAGACTGTGTTCGAACTTCGTTGGGTCATCATGAAAATATTGACAGTCTTGTAAACGAAACGTGCTTGAAGCCGAAGTTACCGTGCTTAAAGGCGTGTAATTTATATAGCAAAAATTCGGTAAGAGCCGTTTAGCGCGCTTGAGTCCGAAACGTGCTTAAAGCCGGCACGGACTGTATAATGAACATAGTGATTGAACAAAATTGAAGGTCAGGCCCATAGAGATACGCCTTAATAATACTAGAGACCACACTGCCGTTAGCGAGGCCAGGCGAGCTGTGTCCCCGTAACGGGCGATCGGATGGCGGCCATATTGCAGTCAAAAGTCAGCACCGCTAGCACAAGATCATGACGCACTCGCCTGTTAGCCTAGCCTAGAATATTACGGGTAGCTGTGCGCCATCCCTCTCACCGCCGCCGTCAGACTTCGTATCGACACGTGCACCGAAAAGTAATCATTTAGACGCTCGGTGGAGCCAAAACCCATACTCCATAGTAATCGCTGGGGCCAAAACCGGATTATCCCAGTATTTGTATTTCAGACAAAACCAAAAGGAGCCTTACTGACTTGCATTTATTTGAACCTGAATAATTACTAGATCTAAATCTAGATCTAGATCTAATGAGACCTGTGTACTTAACAGGTTTGAGTCGATAGGGCCAAACCTAGATCTAAATACGATTAGACTGGCAGTCTAGCCGTACTTAAGTACAGCTAGCCACTTCGTATAAGTTATGTACGGCTAGCCACTTCATTCTAATTCTAGATCTAGATCTAAGTATCCTGTGGTGCGATATACCGTAAGCGATCTTTTGTGGATATCTCTGGAAGTTACAGGTCAATCTTCATGATTTTTTCACCAGAAGTTAGAAAGACTTCCTCTCTATACGGTGTAGTGCATTACTGTAACAGCAGTTTAAAATTTCTATACGTTGTGGTGGTGTTTGTTTGGTAACGTGTGTCTGGTTGATGCGCAAGGTGTCTGTTTGGTGCAACATATATTGTCTGGTTGAGTGCGCAATAGTACCATGTTTACAGCTCTAGATCTAGATCTAGCTCTTTTCTGACACTTTTCAGCTTTCTCTATCCTCGCCTTGTCTTCTTTTCCCTGCAAGAAGTTCCTGTACTGACCATAACGGAAGGCCAAGGTCAATGAGGCGTGTTCTGTTTGGGAGCTGTGCGCCCCCTAACATGAGATTAATTTCCCTACACCGTGTGTATACATGTGTTTTGATAATGGATAAAAAGAAAGGTGCTGTGGACACAAGAAGGTGAAAGAAGAAAACAAGAGTTAGGCTATACCTAGACTAGTATTCTTATTTAAGGAAAAGGACAAAAAAGAAGAAGAAAAAGACATGAAAAGAAGAAATTGAACATTTTGGAGATTAAATTTCCATATTAATTAATTTTGACATGAATACATTAACTGATCATCTTCATCTTCCAATGGCAATATAATGCATCCAAACGGAAGGAAAACAGTCTGTTTCAGTGCACAATGCAGGTCATAAAGAAATAACTTAATAAGTAAAACAACTAAAGGGCCTAGAAGCCACACTATCAATGCCAAATAGCAAAAAAGCTGATATATTGCGCACTGAAACGGACTGCACAAATTTGGTCTGCTTCAGTGCGCAACCCTATCTGGCATGTTCCTGGGCATTAAGAAGCAGCTTGCAATAGTATTTATCGATTCTAGTATACATTCTACGATACATTAGAGCTAGATTTAAAACTATATGTGCTAAATAATCGACCACTTGAAGCGCTTAGAAAATTCACCGATACAAGTTACGAAAACCATCAATATGAAGGGGCAAAACTTTCAGATACCGTAGAATCACGTATGTTGACAGGAACCTCCAAAACGAAAGTGAAATAAGCTGCATTCTGCGCATGCTCACAGAAAGTGACCTCGTTTTCACTGTTCTTATCCAAAACAAAGCAGGAGACCGGGGCTTGCGCACCCCAACAGCAGCGCGGTGACGCTGTTAGACTCTAGATCTAACACGTTTACATGAGGGCTATATGGCCACCTCTATTCTCACCGCGGGTGAGAATAGCGCAGGCGAGTCTTTTGGCTATTCTCAACCGGTGGGCGTTCACCGTTATAGGCCTAGCCTAGGCCAACCAGTGAAGCGTTCACCCTGAACCACAGAATTTTCAGAATTCTACACTGTGATAACAGAAATGTAGAATTCTGTGCCGTGAACAAACGTTCTAGATCTATGTATGTATAGTATAAGGTTTTACGGCGCTCGCAACTGCTAAGGTCATATGAGCGCGCGAAACACAAGTTGTTCACCTCTGCGAAAGTTCACTTCACGACTGGCTAACTAATTTACTTTAAAATGCTAAAAAGTTAAAATATTCAAATTCGGTGTAAATACATTTGTGATCTAAAACAACTTTTAAGTAACAATAAAAAATTTTAATAATATCAAATTCATTCTACAACTCGCCATAAAGGCCAATGGCCTTTATAAAATTTAAAATTCTGCTGGGAACAACGACGGAAAAAATATCCTGCAATTTCTTGCATTTATAATATTTCCTTCGGATCTCTCCAAAGTCTAGACATTCTGTTAAAATGTGTTTAATGGTAAAATCTGTGTCGCATCCGACACAGAACGGCTTCTCATCTCCCTGTAGGAGGTATTTGTGGGTTAACGCCGTGTGTCCGATGCGCAATCGAGTAAAAATGACTTCGTCTCTTCTGGAGAGATCCGAAGGATTTCGCTGTTCTAGTTTGGGTTTAATTTCATATAATTTATTATTTTTCTGGTTTTCCCAGTGGCTCTCCCACAGACAGGAGGTGTACTTTTTTACTTTATTTCTAAAGTCAGTCTGTGGGAGAGTGTTTGTCGTTGATCCCAGCAGAAGGGATGAAGCTTTCTTCGCCAGGTCGTCTACTTGCTCGTTTCCTCGGATGCCCACATGGCTGGGTATCCATGCGAACATGATGTTTTTTCCTGTTTCGGATAGTGTATGGATTTTCTGTTGTAGCCTAACTATTTTTGTCAATGGCAGTGGCCTCCGCAGTGAAAATGGAGGCTTCAGGGTGGAGTCTCCTCTGGTGTGTATTGTTGGGAGATAGGGCTGCGGCGCCCACTTCATTGTCTTTTTTGGAG